AATCAAATGTCAGATGCATTCACTAACCTACCAAGGTGACTAAGTCACATATTCCAGCTGCTAATGCTCCAATTCGAGTTGATATCCCGGCAGAACAATTAATTAAAGCAAATGAGTCTAAGCCATGCTTGAAACGTGGTAGATCAATCGGTTCTAAAGATAAAAATCCTCGAAGAAGAAAAGGAGCAAGTGATCAAAGTGAACATAACACAGAGGTAATGGCTCAAGAAGAGCCCCAAGACGTAGCAAATGATAAGACCTTAGGGGAGGTCCAGGTACCTAAAAATAATAAAAATGAAGAGATATCAATAAGTTACGTCTCAACCGGGAAAAGATGGAACCGAAATAATATTGTTATCGATAACATTTTTGCTTATAATGTTGCTGTTGAAATAATGCAACAAGATGAGGATCTTGAACCAAAATCTGTCAATGAATGTAGACAGAGAAATGATTGGCCAAAATGGAAAGACGCTATACAGGCAGAGTTAACTTCACTTGGAAAACGTGAAGTCTTCGGACCCATAGTTCGAACACCTGAAGGCATAAAGCCAGTAGGGTATAAATGGGTTTTTGTGCGAAAACGAAATGATAAAAATGAAGTCGATAGATATAAAGCACGACTTGTGGCACAACGGTTTTCCCAAAGGTCTGGAATTGATTAGATGGAGATATATTCTCCTGTAGTGGATGCTATCACCTTCAGGTATCTCATAAATATGGCAGTACAAGAAAAACTTGATATGCATCTAATGGATGTTGTTACAGCCTATTTGTATGGATCATTAGACAACGAAATTTTTATGAAAGTACCTGAGGGATTTAAAGTGCCAGAAGCATATAAAAATTTTCGAGAAACTTGTTCAATAAAGCTTCAGAAATCTTTATACGGATTGAAACAATCAGGACATATGTGGTACAATCGCCTGAGTGAATACCTGTTGAAAGAAGGGTACAAGAATGATCCAATTTGTCCCTGTGTCTTTATAAAAAGGTCTGGATCTGAATTTGTTATAATCGCCGTGTATGTTGATGATTTAAATATCATTGGAACTCCTGGGGAGCTTCCAAAAACAGTAGACTGTTTGAAGAAAGAATTTGAAATGAAAGATCTTGGAAAGACAAAATTTTGTCTTGGTCTACAAATTGAGTATATGAAAGATGGAATATTTGTCCATCAATCAACATACACCGAAAAGATTTTAAAGCGATTCTATATGGATAAAGCACATCCATTGAGTACCCCGATGGTTGTGAGATCACTTGATATAAAGAAAGATCCATTCCGACCTCATGAAAATGATGAAGAGCTTCTTGGTGCCGAAGTACCATATCTTAGTGCAATTGGGGCATTAATGTATCTTGCCAATAATTCCCGACCAGATATAGCTTTCTCAGTAAGTTTATTGGCAAGATTTAGTACTTCGCCAACACAAAGACACTGGAATGGTATTAAACATATATTCAGATACCTCCAAGGGACCATTGATATGGGTTTATTTTATTCAAATGAATCCAAGCCATCATTGATTGGTTATGCAGATGCAGGATATTTGTCTGATCCACACAAAGGTCGATCTCAGACAGGCTATTTATTTACAAGTGGAGGTACAGCCATATCATGGCGTTCGACAAAACAAACTATGGTTGCTACTTCTTCAAATCATGCAGAGATAATAGCCATTCACGAAGCAAGTCGAGAATGCGTTTGGTTAAGATCTATAACTCAACACATTCAGCAAACATGTGGTCTTTCTTCGAAAGAGAATATTCCAACAATATTGTATGAAGACAATGCTGCATGCATAGCTCAATTGAAAGGAGGATATATCAAAGGAGATAGAACAAAACACATTTCACCGAAATTCTTTTTCACTCATGATCTTCAGAAGAATGGTGAAATAGATGTACAACAAGTTCGTTCAAGTGATAATTTGGCTGATCTGTTCACTAAGGCATTACCAACCTCAATATTTGAAAAGCTGATATATAAGATTGGAATGCGTCGTCTTCGAGACATTAAGTGATTTTTCATCAGGGGGAGTAACTACACGCTGCACTCTTTTCCTTAACCAAGGTTTTGTCCCACTGGGTTTTCCTGGTAAGGTTTTTAATGAGGCAGCAAGCAATGCATATTATAAATAACTATGTACATCCCAATATTTTTTTTTTGTAAGTTTTTAATGAGGCACATTATCTTACATGGACATCCAAGGGGGAGTGTTATGAATATTTTGTATATTGGATACTACTTTGGATACTACATTGGATACTACATTGGATGCTACATTGGATGTCCATGTTGTGAATAACTTAAAGATTAAATTTCCTATTTTATGTCCATCATCTTTACTTTTTATGCCTATAAAAGGCCATGTAATTGCAATGAAAAATTACACCAAAGTGAAAGAAGAAAACACTTCTCCATTCTCTCTATCTCTTTTTGTTTACATTTTACTGCATTATTTTTATTTTATAACAAAAACTCAATTATACTGTTGGTGTATATACATCTAAACTATCAAATATAGAGAATGAATGTGCTATCATTTACCAATACAAAGTTAAATAAGAACAGGGTAGTGACAATATCAAACAACTTGACATCTATGTGTCTAGCAACGCATCATGATCTCAAACTTATCAAAATTTAGTAAACCATAACCATTGATATCACATTGAGCAATCATTCCTCTAATTCATCAATAAAATCAGCCCAAGACACTAGCAAACCACCTAAGAAAAAGCAGTTAATCAGTTTCTTCTGAGGGGCAAAGATCTGTAAGTAAAAGTCTTGAAGAAGTAAAAATGGAAGCATAGACTTCTTTTGTAGCATTAGCTAGATGATAAGGGAGAGGATGATGTTGAATGAAAAACCTGCCTTCAGTTTAAGATAACTTACCAATGATTATACAATCTTCTGATCATTATATGACCAGTTAGTCGAGTGATTTGGCAGGGGCAAATTGTATTGCAACTGGATGAACGCAATCTTTTAGTATAGGCAAACGACCTGCATACGGAATGAACCATACTCAACTGATCTAACAGACATAAAACACACACGGGCTATAGGTCCCCGTGTGTAGCAGAGATGAGGATGATGAGGTGGATGTGCGGGCAATACAAGGATGGACAAGATTAGGAATGAAGTTATTCGAGATAAGATGGGTGTGGCCCCCATGGAGGACAAGATGCGGGAAGCAAGACTCAGATGGTTCAGACGCATTCAGAGGAGGAGCATTGATGCGCCAGTGAGGAGGTGTGAGCGACTGGCTGTGGTGGGCATGAGGAGAGGTAGAGGGAGACCTAAGAAGTATTGGGGGAGGTGATTAGGCAGGACCTAGCACGACTTAGGATTTCTGAGGACATGGCCCTTGACAGGGAATTGTGAAGGTCGAGCATTAAGGTTGTAGATTATGGGGAAGTCTGTGAGTATTACTACAGCGCACTGGAGTAACACTAGCCATTTAGGAGTTAGTCTTAGGATGCCACTGATCGGTAACGGATGCAGGGCTGTGTAGGTTATATTAGTATACTTCACACCTTTTTCTCCATCCTTTTCGTATTTCCTATATTTCTTATATTGTTGTTATTCTGGTATTTTATATTATGTATTTTATGTTATTTATTATGACTCTATTAATAGTACTAATATATTGTCTCGTGTTGCTCTCTTGAGCCGAGAGTCTCCTGGAAACAGCTTCTCTGCCCCTCGGAGTAGGGGTAAGGTCTGCGTACATACTACCCTCCTCAGACCCCACTGGTGGGATTATACTGGGATGTTGTTGTTGTTGTTGTGTTGCTATAGGTCCCAGGTCTAATAATCAAGTCGTCAAGCATCCGTTTAGACAGTTTAGCTAGGCGGTATCAGCTTATGTTCTTTTAGAAGAAATTGATTCATTTCCTGTAGTCAAACGAAAAATATTAACTGATCCCACATTACACACAACCCATATATAAGAAGTCCTTAGGCCTACTGATTAAGTCGTCCAAGATCCACTTGCTATTCATGAGCTGAAGAGTTAGCTTTGGATAATTTGAGAAAAAGATGATTTGATAACTTCCTTCTTGTTTTTTGCATGTGCTTTCTGATATTTTGAGCATTTCCTCCTCTTTTTGAGCTTTCTTGAGTTTGTCTTGCCACCTTGTTTCAGGTTTATGTGCCAAAGAGAAGTAGAAGAATCCTATCCGGACCACTCGTGCCAGCAGGGGGTAAGTATGGAAGACATGTTAAAGGAACATGAGAGACAAATTCAAGAAGCAGTTAGGAAAGCACGTCAAGACAAGACGCGGACCAAAAACAACTGATTGCTCTCTTCCGGCGGAAGGATTCTCATGCAATTTCAGTTTTCTTCACATGAAATCCACATTTGTACAGGGCCTAAGAGAAGGCACAACACAATGACGCGACATCCAAGAAGACCATGAAAACCACCAGAAAGCAATACATACAGAAAACAACAGATAACCGTAATGACACAAAACAACTACATAAACCTTGTTGAAAATTTGTCTTCTCCAGCTGCATTGAGAATTAAATCAAAGGGTGAATAACATCTAGAAAACCAAAAGAAAAAGGAACAAAGAAGCCATTCTTCATTAGAGAAGAGCTTCTTGACAGAAGATAGTCTGCCTTTCTACAATGGTATAAAGGTTCTTGATTGGATACTACACCACATAAATGAAGCCTTGAGAGCTAATCAATCAGTAAAGCCTCGACGAGGATTGGGTATACCCAATCCTTCAAGGAAATGAGATTGTCATCTTCCAGGAAACGCAGTGCAACAAGCCAAACATAGGGCGTAATAATCTGAGACGACAGTCAACCACCTTCAAGGTGGTCATCACGTTATCTTACAGCTGATTGAGAGGTATCAGAATGACAAGAATTATCAACATTACCAATTATTTATAAGAAATTAACAAGCAATGGGCATCTCAACCTCCACCCACTCCACACCCACAAAAGGGGAGAAAAAGAAAGGTAAAAGAGAGAGTGAGCATAAAGTTACTATAGTCTTTAACCAGAACTCGAGAAATATCAAATTTACAATCACAAATGTCATGTTACACCAATAAAGTACCGACTGAATCAAATGGCAAGAGGCAACATCTACGACTCAGTGATCAAGCATGTAACTATCTTTCAAGAAACAACATTCTAAGACAATAAAACCAAGTCCAAGACACTAGCATNACTAGCAAACCACCTCAAAAGAAGTAGCTGATCAGTTTCTTCCAAGGGGCAAAGATCTGCAAGAATAAGTCTCCTTGAAGTCGGTCTTTCTTGAAGAAGTGAAAATAGAGGCATAGATTTCCTTTGTAGCATGAGCTGGAGCTATATCAACAGCCTTAAATCGCTTTCCAGACCCGTTACTCGCACTATTCTTCACATCCTTCACTTCAATCTTACTGTTAATGCCAACTTTACCTTTTCCTTCCACTTTCCTCGCATCCTTTTCTGCTAGCTTATCCTCAATCCCATGTTTCATCCCACTCAAGCGTGGCACCCCCAATGCCTCTTCACCATTCAAAGCTACATCCCCATTCTTCCCTTTCTTCACCTTCTTATTATCCTTCAATTTCGCTCTTTCTTCCTCCATTCTCTCCCTCAAAGCCGCAACCTCTTCTTCGCTCCCGTTAATCACAAGCTTGTCACTCTCAACAAACTCCTTGTGGCAAACCAAACAACCCGAGGATTTCACTTCCTTCAAAGCTTTTGCACTCAAAACATGTCCACAACCCCTCAAAGCAAAGAACTTGTACTTCCCATTGAACTCCAACCCAGTTATCGGGCACTGAAACCCGATCACCTCACCATCACCAACCCCTCTATCCTCTTTTCCCGGAATCACCGACAGCTCAACCGGAATCATATCTTTCAATCCCTTTATATACCCAAATTGCTTAGGCACCCTTTTCTTCAATAAAGCCTCAACTAAAGCCTCCTTATTAAACAAATTCCCAAGCTTATCGACAACAACAGGATGCTTCAACGACTCGTTAGACAAAGCACAATTCAACCATTTCGACAACCTAATTTCATTCGGGTCAATTTTATCCGGTTTCTTAGTTGCATACATCTTCAGATAACAGTCCCGGGACTCCGCCCCCGTGGCACCTCCATCCCCACCCCCGCCACGGAGGCGAAGACGGAGTACTAAAGTGGAAAAAGGGCTAATCCCAGAACCATGTAATAGAGTTGAATCCTTAATGGGCCGACCATTGAATGTAAAATAAACAGAATTATCCTTAATTGAGCCTAATGATTTATGGATTTTGTCCATTAAATTGGATTTGAGGTCTTGCAAAGTGAAATTAGGGTTAGGGTTTTCGAGATTTAGGACATAATTGGAGATCTGAAGCTCAGGTGATTGGATGAAAATTGAGAAATTACGCATTGGGTGATTCATTACTAGGAATTTTTATGAACTTAAATTGAAGAAATTTTACGAAAATTTTACCTGAAATGAAGAGGAATCGAAGAGCGAACAGGTGCGAAGCTTTGGTTCTCGAAAGGGGAAAGCGAAAGACTGTATTTTGATCGTTGTATATATTTTAGTCTTCTGAAATTTGTTTGACAGAAACTCGGTGCACCGACGTCTAGGCCATAGGACTTGGGGACCCGTTTGATTTTTTTTTTGGGCTCACCCATAATCCAATTGGCTGAGGCCCATTTTTAAAGCATCAAAAGGTAAAAATTGCACGGGCACCCTATTTGGTCGCCCCCATTTAACCTATACCCATTTCTTTAAAAACTTTTAACTTGTACCCACTTTTTAAATAACTTTATCTCCCTTTCTCGTCCTTCATTTTCTTCTTCTTCTTCTTTAGGGGCTCTCATTCTTATTCAATTTTAAAACAATATAAAAACCTACGATTTTGGCATCATTGAAATTTCCAAGTTCATTGTTATTCCTCAATTGACTGGTTAGATGATGGCTGGTGAATGGTGATAAAATTGCATTTGCTCTTTCTGTGTGATTAAATGTGTCGTTTAAAAAACTAATAGTACTATCTAAATGGTTGTTTCTTTAGAAAAAAAGAATGACGAGCAATGAAGAAGTAGTTAGGTTTCCCTCATATTGATCCTAATTCATGCTATGTCGTGTGTTGCGAATAGCTAACGAGCATCTTCTTACTGCCCAGATGCTTAACAGCAATGGACAAAATGCTATGCATGTTGCTATATTGAACACTCTATAGCTGAAGTTTTTGTGTTGTAACTGGAAATTTCAGATCTAGTATGTAATATTAATAGGTGGTAAAAAAGCTTCAGCTCTAAAGCTGAAGTTTCCCAGTTACAACACAAAAACTTCAGCTCTAGAGCTGAACTTCAGGCCCGCTACTAGAATGCTGAAGTTTTGCGTGATTGTCTTTGCTACTTCAGCCTCGTATGTTGAAGTTATGCGAAAAAGCGAGTACGCTTGCAATTTTTTTTACAAAGCAGGCACACAAAAAGCAGGTGTAGATGCAAATGCCCCCATCAAAAGAGAGNTATATATATATAAACAAACATATAATTGTGTATAATCGGAGTATACCACCTAAAAAAGTAAACAATAAATTCAGCCTGATATTTGTATAAAGATTCCTAACCAATTTGAGGATTGCTATTTAAGACACAGTCGAAGTTCAGAATGTTTTGTAAGTCAAACCATTTTAGAATCAATTTTAGACTCATGGGTATAAAGTTTTAAAATACTTAAAAAATAACGGGTTTAAATTTTTCAAAAACTTCAAACATACGAGAGAAATTCAAAAATAGTCAGATTTACAAGTGGTCATTAAAAAATAGTCACAGTTTCAAAAGTAATTGATATTTAGCTACTTTTCATGTAAAGATAAATCTGAACAAAAACACTGTTCAAAATCCAAAAAATACTTCAGCATAATATACTGGAGTATACTGGAACTCCAGTATATTATACTGGAGTTCCAGCATTCCAGTATACTCCGGTATAATATACTGAACTTTCAGTATAATATACTAGAGTTCCAATATAATATACCGGTCCAGCATAATATGCTGGAAATTCATACACAGGTGCTCCAATCTTCAGTATATTATGCTGGAAAATTTCTCCATGTTGGAGTTCCAGTATAATATGCTGGAAGTTCATACACATGTGCGTCGATCTCCAGTATATTATGTTGGAACTTTCCGTATTGCAGCAAAATAGTGACTATTGTTCAATGACTTTGCAAACGCTGGATATTTTTGAATGACCAATCCAAAAACTGGCTAACCCGTGCTATTTTTACCAAACATACTGGTTTTGAAGTTGGGCTTGCCAAAGCGTAATTTCTGAGGTTGTCTGCATTTGGCATAAGTTTTAAGCTTTTGACAGTATGTCTGAAGTTTGGTAGGTGAGTAATTCCTTATTTGCTAGTATTATTCTTTTAATGTGTGTTGTTTTTCTTGAATTGTTTCAATGTTTTTAATCCCATTGTTGAGTTTAGAAATTTGTCTCTATCATATTTCTGCCTCATCATATTATATTTCGGTTTGCATCGTTTTGTCATTTTTTCACAACTTATACGATTATATGTACATTATTTATTTGGAATTGATGCGTAATTACTGTTATTGTTGTTGGTTATGAGTTTAGAAATTTGTCTCTTGCATATTTCTGCCTCATATTACATTTTGGTTTATATAATCATCCGATATTAACACAAAAAGTCCAATTTATTGCTCTTTATAATTGTCTCTATATATATATATATATGAACTTAGGTTGGATTTTTGACTTTGGAATGTCTTGAATCTATAAATGACCCCTCACTTTATTTCCTTGATTTTATCTTCAAAAACTTTTATAACCCTAAACCATACTTTCCATTATTATTGTTAAATTTTCTCTTTGAACTAATAATCTCCATAATAACTTAAACTATGCTGAAGCAATGAGCTTCACCCTTATTTGCTTTCAAGGAGAAATAGACTGTCACGAGAGATTTATATTATTACTTGAAATTAAACAGTTCAAATTTATAATTTATGCGTGTTAATTTTCTTTTTAGTTTGTTTTAAAAAGAATTTCATTGTTTTGTATTTAGAAAGTCTTTAATTTTAATATTCGTGTTTTATTCTTACTAGCACGATTATATGATTCGATTAAAATATGCACCACCACAGAATAGTGTATCTTTCAACTCATTACAAGTCGAACAATTTTTTCTGTTCAACCCTATTTCAAGTGATTTTTTTTTCGTGCGGTAATTTTCAAATTTTATTAGGAAATTTACAGCTCATTTCAAGTGATTTTTAAAACAATGAAATATAAACTTATAAGATTTAGGCATTAAATTTTTAATGAGAATGTATAATTACACGTGCAAAGCCATAGATGTTGACACCACCAAGGATGTGGTTGAAATGATAAAAGTTCCTCAATTTTAATTAGAGATCTCGAATTTGTATTCGAAGAATATGTACCTTTGAGAGGGAGTATGACACAATTAATTAATAGAAATATCAGTGGATTTCAATTACCCGATAATTAAAAAAACAAAAAAGACCTAGATATATTCATTCAACCATTAAAACAAAAAAAAAGTTGTTTTGTTTAACACGTTTCATAAAACATGCATATCCCAATTTCTTGTTGAATGACAATTGTATTATATGCATGCTAATATCCTGCATGCTTGCATGTTTTTTGTTTTCACTTCAATTAAACCTCAAAAAAAAAAAAGTAGATCACAAGATTAATTACTTGGTCAAATTGTCTTTAATTCTATCTGCATTTAATGTGGAATCATCTCTTCTACTTAATTAAGATCTTACCACATATAGTGCATCTAACACTAGTATGGATTATATATTATAAGAATATTTTTATTGGAATTAAGTGGATGATTTAATGAAAGTTACAAGGCTGAATGGTAAAAAAGAGAAGACAAAAAGTGTATTAATTATAGATGCCTCCATATTAATTGCTCTTTTCCACATTTCAACTATTTAATCCTCCTTCTTCCCTTGACAATACACAACATTTCTGCATCTCTCTCATTTTCTTTTCTTCATAGTAAGTAAGTTGAACACCTCCCCCCCCCCCCTCTCTCTCTCTATATATATCATGAATTTCTCTATCATTTTTCTAAGCTATGCTTGTTAGATGTGTTTAATTTATGCATGTACATATGTTTCTTATAATTGCGGTGTACTCGGGCTAGCTTGCGCGCACCTCGACTAATTCACGGAATATCTGCTACCTCCCACCAGCACATGTACTTTAAAACTTGGATAGATGGATAAAACTCACTTGGTGGGAGTTTAATTTAGACATAAAATTGTGAAATTCGAAAAAAAAAATTTAAAGTGAAAATTTGAAAATTAGAATTGTGTTTAGAAATTTGGAGATGTTTTTAATTTTTGTGAGTGATTTGAAGTGAATTTTGAAAAATAACTTTTTGGAGTTTTTCAAATTTTCGAAAAATTCTGAAATTTAACTCCAAGTGAAATTTGAATCGGGGCCAAACATTAATCCTGAAAAAAGTAAAAAAATTCCGGTAAAAAGGTGATTTTTTTATGGCCGAACGGGCCCTTGGTGATCTTGCATCCGCTGAAATTTGAACCTGAGTATCCACCATTTTTCTAGGTTAATCAATCAACTCTAATGGCTTCTGAAAGATCTCCATTTGCAAAACCATCAAAGAAAACAAGGTCATGTAACTTGAAACTCAGTGATACAAAGGACAAAGAAGTAGTGGAAAAGGTTGCAAAAGTACCAAAAAGAAATGGAAATATCATGAGGCCAAATGAAGCTCTAGCATCAGCAGTTGAGAATCCAGCTTTGCTGCGTGCCCTTGACCATATAAGATCAGCTGGTGCGGGTAAATTTTTACCGTCCTCTATTCGTTATGTATATTTCCCTTTTTTTTCTAAGTTTCTTGTGTTATATATGTTACAATCATAGGCGTAGTGGCGGATCCAAAAAATTTAGAGTATTAATAATGTAAGAATACTACATATGAATTCAAATTACTTAAGAACTAACGAAACTTTTAAGCAACCTTTTTCGTTACACTAGAAGTTTTTATTACGTGAAAGAGATTTAACAATTTATTTATATATACCAAAATTTGTTTTTACCCTGGTTGTGTGCGGAGCATAATTTTTCGACTTAAGAGAATTCAATTGAACCTCACTCCGACCATGTAGCTCGCACCTCATAACGTGACTATACATCTCACATTATGTATGATCATTCCTTCATGATCATCTTATTTATCGTCCTCTATTCGTTATAAAGTTTTCCCTTTTTTTCTAATTTCTTGTGTTATATGTGCTACAATCATAATAATGTAACTTTAATAATGTAAGAATGCTATACACGTTGAATTCAAATTTCTTAAGAACTAAAGTAACTTTTAAGCAACCTTTTCAGTTACTAGAAGCTTTTCTCACGTGAAGGTGATTTAACATTTTATATATACACACCACAAGTTTGTTTTTACTCTATTTGCGTGTGGAGCATAATTTTTCGACTAAGGAAATTCAATTGAACCTCATTCCGACCATGTAGCTTCCCAGGTCCAACCTCATTAACGTGACGACTATACATCTCATGTTATCTATGATCATTCCTTCATGCTAAAGATATATGTTATTTATCAGGGACGAACTTAGTGTACAAGTTATGAGTTCATTCCAGCCCACTAACTTAGCCTTAAATCTTGTATATATGTCAAAAGATCCGCTACTCGGAAAATCAAATGAGCTATGGTAGAATTTCACACTCGAACCTATAATGTTCAAATTCTAGATCCACCCCTGAGATTAAGGATTGTTCAATCTTCTTGCAGTAAAACCAAAAAAGACCAAGGCAAAAGGCAAATCAGAAGTGGTTCCTCCAAAAAGCATTGGGATCAAGAAAGGAGCAACCTGCAGTACTGTTTCAACTTCTGTTTCAAAAAGCAGCAAAGGAATTGTAACAAGCACAAGGACAGAGGATTATGGGATAATACCAACAATCAAATCCTTTGTAATTCACTGTAAACGTTCAGAAAATGAGGAATCTGTTTCAGCTAGCTGGAGCACTTTTCAACCAATTGACATGATCAAGGGAAAGGCTAAAATAGGGATGCTCCCATAATTCATTGCTCAAAAGTCTTTCGAAAATGGAAGCATTTTGATAATGAGGCCGCTAAAATATGAAGGAAATGATCTCTTGTNTTGTGGGTGGGCGGTGGGGGTTGTGAAGTGTAGAGGAGGGGAAGGGGTGTAGCTAGCCATGCTCTTTAGTTTCTCCCATTTTCAGATATTTAGAAATGTGGTGCATCTGAGTTTTAATTGTAACTTAATTATCTTGGTACTTAAATCTTTTTAAAGTAATAACATAGATTTATCCATTAATCCATAGATTCACTAATGATGATTAGAAATTGAATTCTTGAATGTACAACGTGAAGCTTACGAGTTTACCATATAGCCGTTTTCAATCTGAAGAGCTAATTTCAAGAACATTCTACGTTTAATGTTTCTTTGCCATATTATTTGACTTGCATTTTAGACTCAAAATTTTAATGGCTTGGCTTAGCTTTCCTTTCTCAGATGATACTTTGACGCGCATAGGAGCTGCAACTTATACCACTGAGGAGTGTTGTGTAATGGCCCATACGCGCTTTCTACTGTTTGAATTTGAATTAGTCGTGTCAGTGAGTTTAAAAACAGGATGGTTAAACAGAAAAAGATGCATTTTATAAGTTCTTTCCAAAGCTATCCCACACTCTCCAACAATATATATGTCAAAAGTGAGGACAATGTCCCAAAGAAACATATTTCTTATCTCATCTCAACTGGTAAGTCAAAAGAAACTCTTTTACCATTCTACAAGATCAATATACAGGCAAGTCCAAACATTACAAGAATCTCAGGGACATGCCAATATCAAGTCCCAAGTTATTGGTAGTGTGGGATAAATTTCTATGAGCGTTATAGCAGGAAATATAGTGGGCGTAAACGTTGGACTTTACAAGGAAAAAATTGTGGGATCAATGTGTGAAAGAATAAGGTGAACGTAAGGGGTTCCTACACTACACTACGTAATTGTGGTGAAGTGGAACTCAACCTATTACTAAAGGATACAATTGCTATTCATGTATATTGCACTGTTGAAGATAAGGATGTTCGTACCAAACGTGTTTCTTCCAATAGGGCTTGAACTTCTGAAGTCCAATCTCTAGCCATGGTTTCATAACTCCATCATAATGAATCACAGCTGCCTGCTCGATCTCGTTAAGTCTGACACCAGATTCGTACCCCAATCCCAAGACATGCCATCTCCGATCTATAGCACGTGTATGTTTGTAAAAGGTCATCCAACCGATTGGCAAAGTACCAGCTTTCATTAATGGTCTATCACTTCCCTGCATCATGACATGCACTAAAAGTGAGGAAGTGAAGAATAGAAGGGGAAGAGCATATAGCAAAACAACTAAAAATAAAAATAGCATATATATATACACAGAATATCAGGAGATCCCCCAAATGGGAGGTCACAGGTTCGAAACCCCCTGCATGCTTTCTTGGTCGAGCTCATTGCACGGGGCATGCCTAGTGTGGTTTACCTCTCCAGTGTGGTTTATGAGCTATTGCACTGGAGCGGAGTTTACCAAGGGCGCACCCGAAGGGTAGTGGCAGCGGGTTCCCTAGTTTACCCAAAAAAAAGGATCTAATAATATATGAAAACCTAACTCATGTTTTTTATCAGCAACATATATAAGGTTGGATATCCTATTTATTTCAATATATAGACCATGCTTGTAGAATTACCCGATCACTCATCAATTATCATTAGTCAATTCCACAAGTACTTAACAAACAACAGGATATAGATCTATACCAGCTCCAAGTACTTGTGATAGAGCGCAGTTAGGTTTCGTTTCCTCCATTCCTGCAGATCAAATATATTCATCCCGAATGCCCAAGTGCATGATTTCACATCAAACCTCTTTGCCACCAGGGGGTCGGTAAAATTGATGAACATATCCATTCGGCGGAATGTAGGCTCGCCTTCCAGACAGGTCTCCACTGCACCATTCACTTTACCCTTCATGTTGATCCGCCAAAGTCCGGTTAGATCCCTTTTCACAACCACGTCATGGTCAAGGAGCACTATCTTGTTGAGAGATGGAAATATATCAGGCAGATAAAAACGCAGGTGGTTCAGGGGGGAAGTGTATCTTGGATCAAGAGACTCTTGCTTCTGCAGAATATACTTGTTTGATAACCAATCAAACTTGTCTATGCTTTGGATCTGAATTGTTACTTTGCCAGGAGGATTCGACAAGAACCACATTGTCATGGCTGGTAGGTTAAGAGAATCTGTCACTATATGAAACACAATCTTCTCTGGAACCTGCCACGTAAATAAACATTTACCATAAATTCATGCACAACCATGATTATTTAATTTTTGTCTTCAAAATATATAGTGATTAATAAATACTCCTAACAGTTATTAATATAAAACCATTAAAGTTTAGCCCTTCCATATATGATTGCTATTTGTGTTGTCATAAATGAATAGTGGATTCGTCTGGTCTGAAGCCAAAGCTTCTTACTAGTAAGCCCAGACACTAAATGAAAATTTTCCTCTAAAGACCATCTTGCAACATGATATATACAACAAATACCAACATCTACATTCTATTCTTGATCATCAAAAAGTCACTATGGATTAAGTTCAATGAAAAAACAAAATAAAAGTAACGGCAGAACGTGGACGAAAAACTAATACGTCCTACGTCCCAATTTATGTGGCACTCTTTCCTTTTTAGTCGGTCCCAAGAAGAATGTAACTTTTCCTTATTTAGGAAAAAATTAACTTTAGAATCCTACTTTGCTCTTAATGAATTGATTTACAGACACACAAATATCTATAGTTTGTTTTAAACCACAAGTTTCAAAAGTTTTTTCCTTTCTTAAATTCTGTGCCGAGACAAACACCGCCACATAAATTGGGACAGAGGGAGTAATAGATTTAAAAAAGAAAAATGAAAGGCAAGAATAAGAAAATTGTGGAGCAGCTCACCCTAGCAGTTGATACAGTTGAGTTGACAACCGCAGAACATGCCAAAACATTGTCAGAGAAAACAGCAAAGTGATACAGATCTGGATCCTGAAATTTATGTTGGTCAGGCAGTTCCTGCTCCTCAGGCGGTAGAGAAAAGTATTCAGTGGTCAACCTCATGGAGAGGCAATGAAGGCCTTTCGGGGTAGTTCGTCCAGCAAGATTTACAAGGAAGGAAGCTTGATTCTTTTGCGATCGAAGCTGTTCCTCAGCGTTATATGTCATTGCACGAAGTTTCTTCACCATTGCTGAGCATTCAGGAAAGAGTTTACTGGCTTTCAACAGGGTTGAATCCATGGCTTTCATCTTCTGTATCGCCCTAGAAACATAACTGTTCTTAGATCATATAAACATCATATTAACTACTTCCTCATTCCCAAGGCAAACAGTACCCTTTCCTATTTTAGGTTCTATCAAATTTTATATACTTTCCTAAAGGTAAAAGTTTTCCTTTACACTCTTCAATGCCTTATCAATCTTTTGCCATTTAAAAAGCACCGCCGGACAACTTTTACTTTATAAAGTTAGCTTTACTGTCACTTTCTGGACGCACTTCTATTTCCAAACATCCATTCACAGCTTAATAACTGTGACTGAGTGAATAATCGAGAAAAGAACTCGCTTGTCGACACTAAGCATTTAGTTACAAGACTGAGCGAATAACCAAATAAATTATCCACTTGGTGACATTAAAGGCTTGGTTACAAGACTGACCAATTTTTTCTCAACCATTCATAAATTAATATCAAGTAAATGTCAGTCTTGTGTAAGTAGATAACTTTAGCACCAATCTATTTGCAATTCCATTTAACCATTTTAACCTTCTTCTCAGATATTTTTTCAGAGTCAATAGGTAAAAAACATAACTTATAAAAAAAGGTACAAAACATAACTCATAAAAGCTAGTACTCAAGCCAAGAAGAGTTTATGCTACTGCAAAGCAATTAAAATATTATCTTACCTCCTTGACAGATCAGAATCTTTAGTAGCTTCACCAACAGCTCGTTCCAAGTCTTTAATTCGTAGCTTTATCTCTTTCACAAAATTAGAGCTACTACCCGGTGGTACAAAATTCAAGAATGCTTTGGCCCTAATCAGCTGATCTTTAACCTCCTTTACCTTCTCATCTAATGCTCTCCGTGGATGGGATTGTACATTCTGACCACGTTGAACCTCTTCTGGCCTGGATTTTTCCTGCAATAAGACCAACTGAAATCAAGAGATCACAAAGGCAGAAGGAGCTTGCAGTTTATAAGAACAAAGTACATAAAATAAATTTCTGTTGACAGTACTACATCAAATATACACAGATAGTGAAAAGAGGGACAAGAGAAGGAGAGGGAAAACTATAATAATTTAAACCCTCAATATCGTAATTAGATTTCTGCTTTTTCCAAATTTATTGCATGCACCAGCTGAATCTTGGAAGGTGAAATAATAAATGAACCCATAAAATCCCTTGAAACTTTCAGTCACAGCTTCTTTTGATTAAGGAAAGAAAAAAAAGAAACAAATGTCTTTTGTCCAAACAATCGAATTGAGTCATTGACAGCTTCCCTACACTCATGAGCATGCAAAGTCTAAATTTGCTGATTTAACTTTATTTCAGAAAAACCATTTCTTGATAAGTGTTCTAAAAAGCACGAGGCATAGATTTTAACTACACATCAACATGATCACCACCATTAAAGCAACAGCTTTAGAATTCAAACACCAACAAGAAAGGGAATCCAGCAGTCATGCATATGCAACTCTAAAACTGCAAAAAACACATGAAATTATATCTAATCATAACTAATTCTGTTTTTAACCTAATTGAAATTAAAATATCGATTAGTCACAAATTCTGGACGAGCAACATCAGTGGCATTCTTAGTTAATCAATAAGCATTGCGATCTACTTGTGCGCAAATCATTCCAATACTACTTTCCTTATAAGGAAACACCACCCAACTGTCTCCGTGAAATTTTTAGTGTACTAAACAGAATATTGAAGTCTATTTATCAAACTAAAAAATAAATAAATGAAAAGAATGATGTTGAAAATTTCACAATACATCAACGAGATCTTTAGTTGTCACATGCATTAGAATTCCATACAGACTAATACCTTTTCTCTAGTTGTGGCCACTTTTTGCTCTGGTAGACTTTGTTGACTTTCTTTCTTCGGAGCATGTGTGGTTACTGAAATTAGGGAGGAAGGCATTCAATTAATTTCTAATTATAGAATAAACAGTAACGGAGACAAGAAAGAAAGAAAAAAAGCAAAAGAATCTGAAGTATCAGATTACCGTCATTTCCCGACAAGCTGGCATTCTCAGGTTTGCCAACACTATCATTCTTATCAATAGAATCTAAACTGACTGCAGAACTTTGGTCGCCATCTCGGTAGACATCCAAGATCGGTTCTTTGACACTTCGACCTTCTTCCTAAACCGAACAGCAGAAAAAGTTTTGCAAACATAAGTATACAAGTAGACTTTCATAACTGTAAGAATTTATATAGTAGGAGTAATATTTATATCACCTGTTGAACTGCATTAAGTGCCCGAACCTCTAACCTTTGCTTCTGAAAAGGAGTATCAAAACCCAAATGGAAAAATATCAATCAGATCATACTATATACAATATTCTCCATCTTTTTCAATCAAAACCCAAATAGAGAAATCTCAATCACATCGATATTGTGTACAATGCACCCCATCTGTTACAATTAACATGACACTCTCTCCATTTCCGAACATCCCAAACATGTGTGACACGTTGCCATATTTAAGGAACTTTCAAGAATCCAAATTCATTGATCATTCAATTTTTAAACTTTGATATGATGTTCTCTATCAAACTAAACTTTTTTAACTTATTTGTTCGACATTTTTTATTTGACTAATACCAATATTATATATGAGTTAGACTAACATTAAACTTTGTGTCCTTTTAAAAGAAGAATTAACCCAAATAGCCGCCACCAATATCTTAAATTGAAAATAGCCGACGGATGTATAATATATGTATAATATGTGAATAATTATGTATAATCATAATCTATGTATACCGGTTAGAAAAAGTAAACGGAGAATCTGGCCGGCTATTTGTTGTAACAATCCCTTTTAAAAACTGTCATGAGTAATGGAAAGATATTTATGCTCACGGAAAACTCGTGCACTTGCCTTTTCGAAGGGATAGTATAATGGAAGTATCGGACCATTAACAGCTTGATCTTTTCCACCAGGTCCCAGTAATGCAAACAAAGAGGAGAGGGAAAAAAAAATAACTTCAACTATAGAAATCTTTAATAGCTTAATTACTAGCAAACGCACTGTACAAGAATAAATCAAATGTTCTTTCTACTTCCACTCAGCAATAAACCAAAACAAGCAAAATATACACAACAAAAAGGACTAAAAAAGCAGAAATCTTACAATAATTGATAAATCTCCAACAAACTCCTTCGACCCTGCACCCAAATTTAAAAATAAATAAATAAATAAACAATCAGATCAAATTAACAAGAACAAAAAAAGAATCACAAAAAACAACTAGTAAAATAATTACCATCAGAACCAAGATGTCTAAGCCTATGTGAAGAAAGCAATAAAATTGGAGTGGTAACAGAAACAGCAAACAAACAGAGGATTATAAATATCCTCGTACATTTCCGAAAAAGCCTCATTTAAGACATATACATGAAATGAACTCAAAAAAAGTACTAGGGTTTTGGATCAAAGAATGTGAAATATAGATTCAGATCAAAAATACGAGTTCGTGATTTGATATAATAGAAAGTGACAAAAAGGAAAGCAACTAGGGTTTTGTCTTTAGGGTCAAATGGGATCTATAAGGTTATTTTTTTCTAATTTATTTGGACTGAATTTAATTTTTAATTAAAGAAAAGCGATGAAAGCGGGGAGATAAATGTGGTGCCATGTTCGTGAGTACAGAGAAAGGAATAGGAATGAGATTCAGGAGAAACAAGGAAGAGAGAGTTAAAAGTGTTAAAAAAATAAATGGGTTTGAGTTATATATATACTTTTTGGAGAGTGCCAACCTAAAAGAACCAAACAGAATTTATGATTTGTAGAAAAGTAGGATTGACTTTTTAGGTATGTATGTACAATTATTGTGTACATATTGCTAGGTTGTTGATTTTGAGGTAGGGTAACAGCACATTCTCATAGGATTTTTTTTTGGTTTTAATATTCGGTTTGAGTCTCCAATTAATTTAGATTTTGCATCGCAAAAGGCTTATTAAGGAGGTGTTTATTAATAAGATTTTTTTTATTGTTAGCGCTTGAATCCTAGATCAGATTAAGGATAGTGATTTTCATGGGTTTATTATACCTCATTTGGCTATAAATAAGAAGAGTATTTTAGTATTTACAAATATAGGAGTACAGTATTTGTTAATATTGACAAAAGAATTGTTTAAAATTCGAAAAATATTTTTTTGTGAGATGATAATTATCATACTCAATAAAAAAAAATCAAGTGAATTTCATGTCTGAAAACTTGGAACCTACTCAAGTTAAAGGTGATCTAAAAATTTTAAAATTTGTTGCATGAATTTCGAAAAATAGTATGACAAAAATGAATAGTAAGCAGGGGCGGATTTAGGGGGGCGCAAGGGGGTTTATATATAAGGCAAAATCTGTTTTTTACCTCTATTTATTAAGTTTTGAACCCCCTTAACAAAATTCAAAAGTGTAGTTTAGTGATCAAGGGGGTTCAAAATCTACATAAGGTCATGAGTTCAATTCCCACTAGCTACAAAAAAAAAAAATTGAACCCCCTTCGTGGAGATTCTACCTCCGCCACTGATAGTAAGACAAACTAAGGTGAATATTAAGGACTCGTTTGTCCATAGATAATTTTTCCATTTTCCAAATTTTTTCTTCAAAATGTGTTTGTCCATGAAATTTTGCAAGTTTTTGGAAAATTTTTGAAAATGAGTTTTTCAAAAATCAAGAAGTGGGTTTGACCACTTTTACAAAATTTTTGTTTCCTCGCTCATAAAACTGCAATATTTTTTCAACTGAAATGCATGTCCCGACATAATTTTATATTCCAAATATCATGTTTCAACTTAACTCCAAATACTAGTTTTTTAAAAAATTATATTTTTTTATGTCCAAACGCCTAGTAAGTATATGAAGGGCCTCCTTGATTGAGATGTGACTGCATAATATCTTTATAATAACTTGCATTATTGGAAAAACTTACCACAAATATTATCTTAATTAATGACCAAAGTAAAAAAGAATTAAGCTTGTTAGTGGCTCATAGTTGGTAGACTAGCTATTTTTAAAAACGAACACACATAGTCGGTTCCTTGCAATTGGATGATGGTAGCTTGATACTGTACCTCAATATTGTAGGATGAAGTTGCAACCTATAGGTTATAACTTATAACTATATCATATATTTCCTTAGTTTTTCTATTTTTTTTTTATAGTAACGGGTTATTTATAATTGTGAGCACGTGATTTTTGCCCTATATATGAATAATTCCCAAAATTCTAACAAAATAATTTTTTCTTTATTTTTACGATTCTTGTGAATTTTGGTGTCATTTTGTTTCAATTATCGGCATCTTATTTTTGCATGTTAATTCATATAAAACACAAGGAGTAGACATTTGCATTTAGGTTTGAATTTTTATATTTAGTACCAATTAAGGGATAATTTGTTTAGAACAAAGCATGAAAATCACAAAAAATAGTTCACTTTTGCATTTTAATGATTTTTATTGTGGATTTGTCATGAATTAGTTTTGAACAATTTTAGGAATTAATTAGTCTTTGTTTTAAAACAATCAGGATTTCATGTTAGTTTTACATCTTTATAAAAATTATATAAAATTATTATGAAAATTGTAAAAGCAAGAAAAGAAAATAAAAGAAAATAAGATTAGAAATTGGGTCTTAATTAAAGACCCAAAATTTGGGCCAATGCATTGAAATTTCTCAGGCCCAAACGCCTCAAATTTGCCCAACCCAAATCCATGCCCGGTCTGCCCCCACCTTCTAAACGAAACGGTGTCGTTTCGGGGTCCCTGAATCAGGACCGCTGGATCTCATCAATCCAACGGTCCGGAACTAACGAGGTTCATAATATAAAAGGGTCCGAACCTTCCCCCCTACCCCCATTTGCATCGTCTTCCTTACCCCACCCTTCCCCTCAACAAACCCTAGCCCGTGCCGCCATCAAACCCTTCGCCGGCGGTGAACACAAACTACGTCGTTCACTCCGAGGTTAACACCACAGATTCCCCTCACTCTCCTCTTTCCATTGCACCCACTGGTGTACCTCGAACAAGGCCGGAACTCGTCGAATCTTGGTTTGAAGTTTTTCGGCCAAGTGACAAGTTCATCCAAATCAGTCCAAAATCACACCCCACAACCTCCGGCCCTTCCTCAACACTAATCCATGGCTATTTTCTTTCAAATAACCGTGAATCGGCCCGAATCTTAGATCTAAGAATTTCAGGCCAAACCCTAAAACCAAATCCTTTTGATTTCGAACCGTAGTATCCTTAATCATGTGTTCTCTTGTAAGAACACATGGTTAGGGATGTTACGCGTCAAAAATCTGAAAGGATTCAGATGTTTCTGACTAGCCGGAGTTCCCTCATGCCTTTGTGAGTTTTTACTGCTTCTTTTGCTCGCACGTTTGAAGTATTATTTGCAGTTGTTGTTTCGTTAATTGTTCTGTTAATTTTATGATTTAATTGTATTAGTTTAAGTTCTGTTAATTACTGTTGAGTCTGAGTTTGATATTTGGTTGAATGATTGTAAGTTCATGGTTTAAGAATTAGTTTAAAGTTCACTTAATATTAATCATGGTAGCTTAAGCTCAGTTTAATTTCGTTTAGCCTGTTTGAGTTGGTATAATTGAACAGAATTGGTTTGGGTCAGTCTAATCAGTTAGTTTCTGAATGTTAATTAATTAATTTCAGTTAGTTTTAGATTGGGTTAGGGTATTGGATATAGCTGTTAAGGATGAGGGTAAGTTCAGTAACTTTGAGGGGTTTTATGGGTAATCTGGGTATGGAAAATGGTAGTTCTGATGAGAATAGTAATATCAAGACATAGGGAAGGGCAGTATAGGTAGTGTATGGGTAGAGGAATACCCTAGGGCCTTCTAGAATGGGGTACAAGTGTAGATTTTAATAAATGTAAGGCATTTACTTATTTAGCAAGATAAAAATAGAGGGACCAAACTGAAAATAGGGAGGGACTGATTGGCAAATCAGAATCCAATCTATTCTCTTTGGGGTTGCCTATAAAAGGGCATGAAATGCCTTGGAAAAGGGGCTTCTCTCTTCTTCTGCCTTTAGCCCTAAGTTTCAATTTGAGTTTTCATTCCTGCTTTTTAATTTCAGTTAGCATTTCAATTCTAAGATTATTCAGAAAACAAAAACATCACAAATGGAGAAATCCGAAATAACTTCACAGTTTCATCACTAGTCTTGGATTTCAATTTTGGGTGTTGGGTTTAGTCCTCTTACAGAGGTGCTTAGGTGCAGCTGTAAGGGTCAGGGGTATATTTGAAACATGTTAAACTGATCTGTGGGAGTCTGCTTGTATATCTGGTTTTCAAGGCAATCTGCCTGTATTTCTGTGGTGTAACATTGCTGAGTTTGTTGTTGTTGCTGTTGAAAGTAGCTGATTCCTCTCCTTTTCTCTATTTTCATTTCAATTTCCAGGTACTGGTTCTATAACTCTCAAGTTTATGGAATTGAAGTAAACATGCTGTCTGAAGTTGATCTCTGAAATTTTTATGTTGTTTTTGTCTAATTTAATATATGAAACAATTAGCTTACCCATGTCATTTAGGTACTATACTAATCGTGGTTTGTATGAATTGGACTGATAAACTGTCGAGTATGAGTTAGTTCATTTCGATTAGTAAGTGGATATTTGGGTATTTAGANGTTAAGCGACCGTGCTAGAACCACGGAGCTCGGGAATGCCTAACACCTTCTCTCGGGTTAACAGAATTCCTTACTCGGATTTCTGGTTCGTGGACTGTTAACAGAGTCATAAATTTCCTCGGTTCGGGATTCAACCGATGACTTGGGACACCATTAATATCCTNTGCAAAGTTGTAGTTGATTTGGAGTTCCATACGCATGGCTGCTTTTAAGTTTGGTCTAGTATGAGTTGCATATTTAACAGCTTCATATTGGGCCAGTTTTGGGCCTGGCGTATTAACAGTTGGCCCAGGCTTTGGCTAGGTGATAATCGAATTAGGGCCTAGGTGCATCAAGGCTTAAAAGTTAGTTAAATTAAAAAGTGCCCAAGGACTCGATCCTTGGGATGTACGACTGCAAAATTAAAATTTTGGG